ATTCAATCTTAGATGGGATGCAATGAGGAATTTTGTCGTCTCGATTGATTAGTGCCTTTTCATTCGTTTATGAGCAGATAATTTCGAAACATGGAAACTGAATTGCACGATTCAAATATGATTGTTTCATGAGAATTTGCACAAAACCGATGCTTTTGAATAACTTACAGAGACCAGACGGGCTTTGAATGATTCGGTATGCCGAATAAACACTGAGTGCACCAACGAGGAGGATAATGAAAACACCCAAAGCAAGTCCGGCTTGTTGTATAGCCCATGGCATTGCCAAAAGACTTGAACCCATCATCGTATTCCAGATTGAAAAACTGAAATGCTCTCTCGATATCGCATAACGAGAATAATCGTGAAAAGGATTGTTCCATAGAAATTGTTTCCAAAAACGCTTCAGTACGTTGTAGACGCCATATGAAATGAAAACAAGTACTGTGCATTTATAAGATGCATTATCGTTGACAAGGCTCGAAAGATGTATTGGTGGATTCAGTGACGACAAAATAAGCGATATCTTACATAGTAACAATACTGCCTTGTTTCCCGGATTCATCTTTGAAATCATCCAGAGGTAGTACTGAGAAGAAATCGTTGGGAACAATGTGATCAGGCATTGTCTGCAAGTTGAGATTATGTTTTCAATGAGAATATGCACACATATTCAGCCGGAATCGTTGGAATTGCGATATTTGATCGATACGTGATGCTTTCAGATCATGTTCATGCTATATGTTTAGCAACTCTGAATGGCCATTATAAGCTATTTGGAAAGCGGAACGATCCTTTCCACGAAAATGCTAACTTTTTGATTGCCATACAGATTATCCGGAAATTGACTGGCTGAAATGAACGAAGATGCTTCAACTTACCAAACGGCCACCACCCGGATCAAGACGGTTGAAAAACCGATATCTTATGGCCAAATTCTGCTCACGAAGTAGATCGTCAGTTGAATGACTGGTATTGTTTGATGCAATGGAGGTTGCATCTGAAGCTTTACTGATGCTTTTGCAAATGCTAATGACTGTGTTCGATTATGTTAGTTTAAATATCATGAATATTGTCGTTATAAGTATGAATTTTGCATTCAATTTCATCCGTGCATTTGCCATATCAGAATGAATCACTTATTGTAGCCTTTTTAAGAATTGAACAATCAAATGAAGTCATATTCATTGCAATGCTATTTTGAGTAACCATTGGGTGCGTTAGTGGGAAGTAAGTAGGAGAAGGGTCGTCTGATGGATGCACCGAGCGGTCGTTGTGGTCGCAAGTACTGATCGGCCGTCAACGAAGAACTTCCGACGAATTCTTGATCGCTTAATGAAAAAATTCGATCAACACCGCTCTCATTCCACTCTCATTACATAATTCAGGAATAAAATTCAGAACAATTGAAAGATGGTTTATGAACAGTTTGAGTGTGATTGAAAATCTGAATTATGACGTTGCTTCAGCGATATGATTTAAGGATGTGAATTCATTATTCGAATCCAGCTTTCACATCTCGTGTTCGGATAAATTTGACTTTACTTTGAGATGAACCAATAAATTGAATTGATGATGCAAAACCTTACGGTTCAATAATTCTTGATAATGTATATAGAGTGAGATCTTTTTTTTTTGATTTATGTATGTTTGCAATGAAACAAAAGGTGTTTTTTATTTGATAGTTCCGTCAGCGAATGATTAACGTGACTAAAATTAGTTACTGGAACATCATGAGTTTTTTGTGATTAAAACGAAGAGTTTATGGGTGGGTTTTAGTATGAATCGAGTGATTACTGATGATATGACCGTACCCGTCCGACGAACCGATCGCAGTATATCCAGTTGGTACACTAGCTGTCTGCATCGCTCCAACTGAAAATAAAATCTGCAAACTTCCAAAGTGTTTGAGCATTTCCTCTCAAGAACGCACACACATTTCTATGATGCACGCTCATCTGTCGAAAAGCCGACAGCAGCACAATAATGAATTAATCCCGTCAGATGGGCTATCAAAAAAGTTTCATTTTTTGGTCGAATGCAACTCGATTGTTCTCTTTTTCTGATCAATCGTTTCGTTGCAAGTTATGTTGTAAAGGAAATTCCTCGAGATGATTTCAAATTTTGGCTTCGTGCAATGAATTTAATAGTGAAATTTAGTATGGAATTGGACGCCTATCAATGTGTTCAATGGCATTCGAGTTGAATGAACAATTGGAAGTAACGCAATCGCAGATTGTCTCTATAATCGGGGATTGCCAACAAAACACTCCGAAAAACTTTCAACAAAATTCAGGGAGAAAACTAACGAACGAAAAAAAAACACTTGGAAATAAATAATTTTTCGACTGAATGCAATGCGAATGCACTCAAAACTGCGCAAGAAAATAGCGTCGAGATCAGCTGAAATGAATGACAAGCCACACACACAAACTTCAGCCTTCAAGCGGATTTGTGCATCTTCGAGAGTATATTTGAGGTTGTGTTCGATATTGTGGGAAACACGCACGATTATCGATTGCTGTTGTTGGTTTGCTATCCGTTCAAATGATTTGCTGTGTTCGGATCACTCACTCATCGAGTGATTATTCATTCAGTTACACAATAATTACACTTGTTTTTGTGACGGCGTTGTTAACCTTGACGATATTATAAATGGACTGAACGAAGTAACTGCATAATCGTCGATTGTCTTCATGAAGAAACATTATGCAGATATTCTTTTATAAAAGACAGCTTCAAATCGATGCAACAGACGACTTTATTTGGTAATGTTTCAGTCACATTATAAAACGAATATACAATACTTTTATTTATAAATCAATTCACCGCAAACATTTCACACAATCGAAAGAATCGGTTGCACCTGAATAATGACAACCTCACCGACCAGTTTCTCAAGAAGTCGTTCGAGGAAATCCTTTCCTGAAAGATCCACCGAAATCTTCTCAGTCATTCTATTTTCATCTACTTTTCCGCAAAAAGTAGATACTTCTCGTCTAGTGTTCACTCGACTGAACAGTTCATTATTCGTATTTTCAAAAGTTTCTTCACGTAAAACTAAATCAACGTGTAATATTTGATACATTTCATTGATCATTAGCAATTGTTATTTATTCAACTGGAGAGCATTTGACAGTAACGGTGACAATGTCAAGAATCATTCAGTCGAGTAGGCTGGAACTTATCAACCTGTTTAAAAAATGATAAAGATACCACAGAATTTCTCAAAATTGAGATCTTTTAAAAATTTATTTAATGAAATGAAATGTTTTACTAATGGTATGAGAAGAGAATAATGATGGGATTGTGGAAATTGTTTTTGGGGAATTAGATAAGCGTAAAGAATGATTGAATAATTTTGGAAATCATTTCTTTGAAAAGTGTTCAATCGATATCAACAAAAACGTTTATAGGTTTTTATCTCATGATTAGAATCAACTCACTACTAGATTTTTCTGATTGTGAGCATGCTTTTGCTTCGGTGAATCTTTTTGATCACTCACTTTCATCTGACTAACAACATCTATCTGTTCACCAAGGTCGCTGTTTTGCTGTGATCAGAAATGACTTTATCTCATTACTTCCTTGAATGTGTCATTATGAAGGTGAATAAAATAAACTAACTTAAACGAGTACGAGAGCTGCCTGTTTGTGGTGTTCCATCTCCACCACGACCCCATGAGGTCCATGTGAATACGATGCCTCCACGGCCATCACCACTCCTCACCGGTGGTACACGGCGTCCACCTGAAATCAGTCAGTGCCTCTGAAAGACCATTTTAACAAAATTTGAAATATTCTATCAAGTGATCGTTGTGTAATTAACGTTCTAATGACTTGCATCAAATCGTATGCAACCGATGGTCTTCGGAATGGATATTGTATAGCCTATGACCTCCTCAGCTTCATCTCTTCGATGATTTCGTGAGAACAGTCTGAGTATCTATTACGGTGAGAATTGTGTAAGCCACGTTCGTTCGTAAGGAATTGTAAGTGCTATGTTCAGCGATCATTCCGGCATAGCTGTGAAGGCGGCATGAACACGTTTACCGGATCGTGTTGGCGCTTTGGTTGTTGAAGGCGGACCGACATCGTGTGGACCTTCCGATGACGGACGACGAGTTGGGCTTTGCGGTTTGTCGGATTTAGTGTGGCCATCATCCTCTGGCGGCTTTTCAGTTGCACCTGAATTCCAGTCTCTTTTATTTTAGATTCGTGATCAGTTATCGCTTCTGAGCTTGATTGCGATGCTCATAGGTGACTTTTCTGTTATGGTCACCCCCATTGACATCGTAGAGTTTCAGAATTTTCTGTAGGATGGCCACAGGGAAGTTTGCGATCAGAGCGCTGCTGTTCCACTTTCTGATGGTTCTGAACGACTGCAGGAGAATATTTATTTATATGAGGCATTTTCAAGACATGTTCGTGCACCTGGTGTAGTTGATGGAATCAGCGGTGTACTTGTAGGCTCATCATCGCTTGATGGCGTATCGTCCTCAAGTTCCAGATCAGTTCCTTCGACTGGGGCTCCTTCAATTGGCTCATAAGAATGGTCGATGCAAAACAAGATTATCACAAATTCTACTTCATCTCAGGATTTCGCTCTTGAAGATCAACACTACAACCAGCATTTGAAGTCACTAAAACAGCGTGCACCCATCAGAAACCTAGCTCAAAGTACACATATTGAAAAGAACTATGAAGGAGTTTTATTGGAAGTAAACAAAATATAGCGTATAGCAAATGTTGATCACTAAACTCATTTATTTCACGCAAATTAATTTCTCTCTGCTTGGTAAACGGATGAATGATCCAGCAATTGTGACTCTCTTCAGAGTGCATTCATTCAACTAACTGTTAATGAGAGAAACTGTTTCGTTAAATGGGAATACTACCGTAAATATCCTGAATTTTCTCGATGTCTTCAGAATCCAGTTTCGGCACGACGTAATTACCGTACTCATCGATTGCACTCTGATAAAACGGTGCCATAACAGAGCGTTGATTACGCGAATGATCCAATCCAAGCGTGTGTCCAATTTCATGAACCGCAACAGTCAGTATATCCGTGAACTGATTTCTGCAATAAGCAAACGCATACACGTTCTTGAGTCTCACAGTCATATCGTAACTTAGAAACACCCGAAAGTTTAATAATTTATGGAAAAACTATTAGAATATTATCATTGCACTTAGTGAAAGGATTAAAATGTGAGCCGCTGTGTGCTGATCAATCATATATACATGATTAAACGAGCGCAGATTTACTTCAAACATTCAAAGGTACTGTAAAAAGCATCGAATGATGTGCTTAAGTACTCCATCGAATTCTCAGCAATAAAACGAAAATGCTCATTTGGACTTGAGTAGGCATTTAGTCGACGGAGTGGTGCTATCATCACAGATGCGAATGAACGAAACAAACCCGTAATAGAGTTTTTCCGGATCCATATAAACCCAGTTCTCGTCTTCATCAAAATGCAACAGTCCATTTGTGGGCATTGTTGCGTGTGCGAGAACGCCACCTATTCAATCAATCCAATTTTACACTTGAATGCTAATATCTAATCAAAAATGAATAAAATAATCAAAAATATTTACATCCAAAGGAAGTTTAAAGTATATCTTACAAGTTGATA